GACGTTCCAACTGCTCTCGCATCTCTCTAGTAGATGTGACCACGGTCGCCATTCTTGTCGCGGAAATTGATTTTGCTCCACTCTCCAGGCCCTCATGTGGAGCATTGTCATCGAAGCTCATAAGTTTGAGCACCTTCTTTTAGGTGATGCCTTTCTTCGACTTGATAAAGTCCTTGAAAGTTTTCTCAGGGACTTTTTTATTCCTGCACAGAACAATTATCAAATTAGAAAAAAGAAGGTTACCTTGGGTCTTCTTCGCACACTCGTGGATCTACTCAAAAATTATCTCGCAAACATCAATCGCTTGCCCATAGATGATCAAGTACAACAGCATCAATCGCCTCACCAATATTGTTGTGTTGTGGGAAGTAGGCATCAACTTGTCTTTCAAAAATGATTCCACAGCTTTGTAAATGACTTAAGGGTTCGACGGTCCACGCAATTATGGGTGGGCGCATTCCCTTCAAACTTCGCCAGCCAAAACACAAATCTTCCAACACACCATCATATGTTTCTTGATCTGTCTCAGCGAGGAATTTTTTATGTTGATCCTCTACCTTGTCGAGCTTGAAGTAGCGATTTAGGGCTGAGGGAGAGAACCGGATGGATTTCCCTCTCACATACACATTATGTTGGGATGAGTCACCTAAGAGAGCGTAAAACTCTTTGACCATTTCTAGCTCCAATACCTTTGGATGCCAGGAAAATTTCTCCTATTTATGCTTCCGTACTATTTCCATTACCTCTGGTCCAAAGGGTTCTTTGCCAGCCTCCGGGAAGACAAAGTTGTCTTCCAAATAAACTTGTCGTTTTTGTAGGATTTTGTATTTTGCCTTAGCCTCAGCAGTTTGGAAATGCTCAAATCTTGAAGCCACGACAGAGGATGTAGACACGCCTGGATTTCTCTTGGATCTGGCCATGGTGTTCGTTGTGACAGATTGTAGGGAGGAGTAGAGGATTCTCACGGTGGTAAAAGGTGCAAAAGAAAAAGAAATAAATGTTGAAGAGAAAGTTGAAAAAAAATAAGAAAACAGTGTCGAGAAAAAAGAAACTGGCGGTTTTGAAGAAAAGTAGTGAGTAATGGGTGGTTTCTTGGGGGTAAAATGGTAAAAATTGAAAGGGGAATGAGATATGATATTAATTATGAGATATTTGATTTGAATTAAAAATGAATAAAATAAATGGAATATATATTTCCCTCTTTAAAAGTTCCACCAAAACTAATTGAATTAGGGTTTCTCTCCCTCCCATACATAAACTTTATCCCTACGCTGTCACGTGTACCCTAAATACAAAAAGAAACAAAAAATAGAGAATAAAATAAATAACTCATGCATAATAAAATAACATGGATTATTTATATATATAGTGCAAATTTTGGTTGCCTAGGCAACAAAATTTGTTCAGGAAAGAAGGGCAAACTCTTGGCCATCGTGAGGTAACGATGATGGTTTAGCACGCAAGATGGGTGCTCCATTATATGCCTTCAGTCGTTGACCATTCACCTTAAAGGTTGACCCATCGTCTAAGTTCTTAATTTCTACTGCTCTATTGCTATGGACTTGATGTACGATGAACGGCCCGGACCATCTAGATTTCAGCTTGCCTGGGAATAGCTTGAGTCTTGTATTGTAGAGCAGTACTTGTTTTCCAAAAAAATTGCCTAGGCAAAATTTTTCTGTCATGCCATCTTTTCATTTTTTCTTTGTAGAGACGGGCATTTTATATGCCTGAGCTCTAAATTCATCCATTTTATTCAGCTCCAACCATCTTCTTTCTCCAGCGAACTGCACATCCATATTGAGTTTCTTGATGGCCTAAAATGATTTGTGTTCCAATTACACAGACAAATGACACACCTTGCCATATACTAGCCTGAATGGTGCCATTTCGAGTGATGTTTTGAATCTTGTTCGGTATGCCCACAGTGCCTTATCAAGCTTTGGTGACTAATCCTTGTGTTTGGGGTTAACAACTTTCTCAAGAATATGTCTAATTTCATGATTAAACCTTAGCCTGCCCATTAGTGTGTGGATGGTATGTCGTAGTAATTATGTGATGCACTCCGTATCTTTTCAGCGCATTGGCAATTAATTTGTTATCGAAGTGAGTACCTTCATCGCTGATAATTGCTCGTGGTACTTCAAAACGTCTAAATATATTCTTGTGTGTAATAATTTCAACACAGTCTTGGAATCATTACTAGGTGTGGCCACGGCTTTAACCCATTTGGAAACGTAGTCTACCGCCAAGAGTATGTATAGATCACCAAAGGATGTGGGGAAATGTCCCATAAAATCGATCCCCCATACGTTAAAGAGCTCAACTTCCAAAATATTTTTTCATGGCATCTCATTTCTCTTCGATATGCTCCTAGTGCGTTGACAACGACATGAATTATAGAATTCATGTATATTCTTGAATAAGGAGGGCCAGTAGAAGCCAGATTGAAAGACCTTTGTAGTAGTCATCATCCCATCATAGTGCCCTCCACAGGGGGATGAATGAAAATGAAATAAAATCTCCTTATGTTCTTCTTAAGGGACGCACATGCGGATTATTTAGTCACCACGTTGCTTGAATAGGAATGGTTCATCTCAGTAATAGTGGCGTACATCATGTCTATATTTTTTCTACGCTGGCTAGATAAATCTGTAGGCATAAGATCACTAACAAGAAAGTTAACTATGTCTGCGTACCACGACACAACCTTGGCAAATAAAATTTTCTCGTTAGGGAAATCCTCCTGAATATCCTTCACGTTATGACAAATGTTTTTGTTCTCTAGCCTAGACAAGTGATATGATACTTGGTTTTCAATACCCTTCCTATCCTTTACCTCTAAATTGAATTCGTGCAATAATAATATCTATCTAATAAACCTAGGTTTTGCATCTTTTTTATTAACTAATTACTTAATGGAAGAGGGATCAATATGTACGATAACCTAGTTCCTATAAGATATGGCCTAAACTTATCAAAAGTAAATACTACTACAAGCAATTCTTTTTCAATTGTGGTATAATTAAGTTGTGCATCATTAAGGGTACGACTAGCATAATAAATGATATGAAAGATTTTACCTTTTCTTTGCCCTAGCATTGCCCCTACCGCATAGTCACTTGCATCACATATCAGCTCAAAATGAGCATCCCAGTTAGGTGATACAACAATTGGTGTCGAGGCGAGTTTTTCTTCAAATCAGTGAATGAGTTGAGACATTCATTGTTGAACACGAACAGTTGATTTTATTGAAGTAGCAGACATAGAGGATTCGAAATAATTGAAAAATCTTGGATGAACTGCCTGTAGAATCCTGCATGTCCTTGGAAACATCGTATGCCCTTTACAGTGGTGGGTGGAGGTAAATTCTCGATTACATGTACTTTGGCTTTATCCACTTCAATGTTTGGTGAGAAATTTTTGTGTCCTAACACAATTCCTTTGGTCACCAGAAAATGACATTTTTCCCAGTTTAGCATAAGGTTAGACTCCTCGCATAGCTTCAGCACTTTAGATAAATTGTCGAGGCATCGGTCAAAGTCATCGCCCGAGACAGAGAAGTCATCCATAAATATTTCCATGAAGTCTTCCAGTAAATCTGAGAAAAAGGACATCATACATCTTAGAAAAGTTGCCTGAGCATTACATAGTCCAAACGATATTCTTCTAAATGCATAAGTAACATACGGGCAGGTGAAAGTGGTATTCTCCTGATCTTCAGGTGCTATGGTGATCTGATTGTATCCATAATATCTGTCAAGGAAACAGTAAAATGCCTTGTCTGCTAACCTATCAAGCATTTGATCAATGAAAGGGAGAGGAAAGTGGTTTTTCTTTATTGCCTTGTTGAGCTTCCTGTAATCCATACATATCCGCCAGCCCGTGACTATTCTTGTAGTCAAAAGCTCATCATTCTCATTCTTAACCATGGTCACGCCACCCTTGTTTGGTACACATTGCACCGGACTGACACATGAACTATCAGATATTGGATAAATCACTCCAGCATCCATCCATTTTATGATTTCCATCATCACCACTTTTTTATTATCAGGTTAAGTCTCATTTGTGGTTCCATAGAATTGTTATGACTATCTTCTAATTGGATCTTGTGCATGCATATTGTAGGGATGATTCCCTTTAAATCTGCCATGATCCACCCGAGAGCTTTTCTGTGTTGTGATAAAATATTCAATAAACTTCCCTCTTGCTCGGGGGTTAGATTAGCAGAAATTATAACTGGTAAAGTTTTATCACTACCTAAATAAGCGTATTTCAATTGTGATGGAAACAATTTAAGTTCTAAGGTAGGTGCATGTTGTAGTGAAGGTTTTGGAGGAATAAATTCATTGAAATCAAGGGGTTCGAATCTCATACCTGGTCTAGCTTGAAGTAAACATTTTTCTTCTTCCAATGAATTTTCTCAGACTTAGGACGTGTTCTGCTCTCAATATGTCTTTCATCTATTTCAGTTGAGAAACTTTCTCCTAGGAAAATATTTTTGATTCATTCAAGAAACTTTTTTCATGGCAACAAGTGTTGTGTTCATCAGATTGTAAAACATCATCTTGGCTAAAAATTTTACAGTCTTTCTTACGGTGATTTTTGTCTTGGAAAAATTTATCATACTCATTAAGATGTGAAAAGTTGCATTGACTAGAATGTTTTGTTCCAACTTCCTCCAATGTGTCAATGTATTCAATGTAATGGTATTCTTCATAATCATCAACGTATATAAGAGTGTTGAAAACATTGATTGTGATGCTTTGATTAACCACCCTCATCGTGAACTCTCCCTTCTCAATATCTATTAGAATACACACTGTGGCTAATAATGGATGTCCAAATATAATAGGGGCATTTTCATCGGCTTCACAGTCTAAAATGAGGAAATTAACTGGGAAGAAAAACTTGTCCACCTTAACAATTACATCTTCAATTCTGCCTTTGGGACAAACATGTGATCGGTCAGCTAGTTGTAAAATCACAGTGGTTGGTCAAGCACTACACATTCCAAGTTTCAAAAAGATGGACTTAGGCATCAGATTTACGCTTGACCCCAAGTCAGAAAGAGCTCTTCCAATATATCTATCACCGATGAAACATAATATAACAAAGCTACCAGTATCTTTTTGGTTTGGAGGAAGTTTACTCATTGTTGAACAACATTCTGTAATCATGGCAACAATTTCTATTCTTTCCACCTTTCTCATTGATATGCAGCTATCAAGAACATAAACAAATTTTCTAAACTGATTCTTGTCATTATGTTTCTTTAACCACTGAGGGAAAGGTGGTGTAGGTCTAACTTCATCCGCTACAGGTGGTGAAGCAACTTTTGCCTTGGCAAATAATTTTTCACCATTAGTGTGCTGACTTGTTGAACCCTCATTCATTTTCTTCTCCTTAGCTAGTTCTGCGTGTTCATCAATCTCATATTGATTTTCAAGTTCTTCATATGTAGTGCTTTGGCTAAAATTTTCTAGTTGCTCTCTCCCAAACTTATCCTCAAGATTAATCTGAGTACCACTCCTCAATGTGAGTGCACTGCATTACTCCTTTCCTTGAGGTATAATGACCTAAATGTCGCTAGGGAGACTTTCTTGTGGGTGCAAATGTAATTCCATGGCAATTTGTCCCACTTGATTCTCCAATGCCCTCAACTACGAGCTATGGCTTTGTAATATAGATGCTTAGCTTTGCAACATATTTCCTTGATTATTGATTGTTGATGAGTGTTCGTGTGTCAAGGTTTTTGTTGAAGCCATGAAATCTTTTGTTGAGGCTATAAATTCCTACAATGAAGCTTCAAGAGTGTTTGAATTTGAAAAAGATGTGTTACTTTTATTATTACCTTGCCATGGCATCTGTTGATGTTGCGACCTTGATTATTCATAAACATTTTGTTGCGGCCTGTTAAAAGTGCATGCATAATTGTTATTGTTATTCCCTTGATTACCCCACGAAAAATTTGGAGGTTGTCGCCATCCAGGATTGTATGTATTAAAATAGGGGTTGTTTTTATTGCTTCTAATAAAGTTGCCCACGAAATTGATAGACTCCTGGTTTTTTGGGCATTCACTCTCATGATGGTTTCCTCAAAATAAAATGCATGTTGAGTTAGTTGCCTTGACTTCTTTCACGTCACTAGAACGCTGCAATTTTTTAAGCATGTTAGTCATAGCAGAAAGTTGGGTAGAAACTGAATCCTAACTGTCAAGTTTATATACCAAAGATATTCTTCTACCGGTTCCAAGCCTTGTAGAAGGGAATTGATAGTCATTATTGGCTATCCGATTGAGGATATCAAAGGCTTTCTCGGGTGATTTTTCGAGAAAAGTCTCATTTACCGATGGTTCTAACATCATGCTAGTGGGTGCATTGACTCCATTGTAAAACATCACAACTTAATTCCAGTTGTGGAATCCGTGATTAGTGCACTTGTGAATCAATCTTTTATATCTATCCCAAAACTCGTACATAGATTCCTCATTGTCTTGGTGAAAACTCTAAATGCTATTGCAGAACTGGGTTTGCATGTTAGGGGGTTGTAGCGAAGCAGAAAACTTTTGCAAAAGTTAGCCCAATATTTTATTGATCCTGAAGGAAATCCACTAAGGCAAGCTCTTACCCGTTCACGTAGAGAATAAGGGAAAAGTTTATGCTTCAGCATAACTTCATGCACTCCTTGTTGCCTGAACTAATCGCACACTTCAAGGAATGCATGGACATGTTGTCTAGCATCCTCATTAGGCGAGCCACCAAATTGACCGATGGAGTTTAGCATATTGAGCATCACTGGTTTAAGTTCAAAATGGGTTGCATGTATTTCAGGTGCCATAATTCCAGGGTTGAGATTGTTAAGAATCGGATTCAAGTGATCTCTTATTGCTCGTGGTCTTACAGCCTCTCTAGAAATATTATTTGCCACGACATCGGGATCCACCTAATCTCCCATATTCTTGTCAGCTTGATACTGTAGTCGATTCATATAATCTCTGGCACATTGGTTACGTCGCCTTTGTCTGAATAACTGTTTGATCTCAATGGTTTACCAAATCTCAGGGTCATGCAAAGAAAAAAACCTTCAAAAGAAAATGAGAAAAATAAACACATTATACTAAATAAATAAAATGTGACAAGAAATAAAAATTTGCTATGGCAAAAATTATCAAAATTCCTTCAGTTGCCAATCCCCGGCAACAGCGAAAACTTGATTGCTTTGGAAAGTATATGCTAAGGCAAACAAATTCGTGCAAGTGTACTCAATCGATGCAAGTAATATAGTAGTAAGTAGAGTATCGTCTCCTCAGGTATTGGTGGGAATTTTTGATGTTTTGTTATAGCTAGAACTAGGTATCACGAACTAGTCCTGAAATTCTTTGTCGAAACAAAAACAAGTAATACTAACAGAAATAAACAAATGGGAAATTATTGTCTAGGCAAGAAATATTGTGAAATATGGTGTGTATAAAAGTTTAGTTGAGGAAAGGAAAATTTGCAAAAGTAAACAAATCATAATTATTAAAGCAATTAAAAGTGTTGGGTTCAATATATTCAGAGAAACCTCACACATGCAGACTTCTTTATGGAACACTTAGGTTGGTTTTGGTAAGATGAAAAATTATCCTACGTCTACAATGAATCAGTGTGCTAAACTTAAATTGCCCGACGTGATTTCTGGAGTATTCAAGAATGGTTGCTACAACAATACTACTTGGCATGAACTATAACCCTTGGTTTGTCAAACTGTTGTTGTGACGATACCCCTCAGCGTAAACTGCATTTGTTGCTTATCCTACTCAAGTAACTACCCTTTTAGTCAAATGAAACCCTCTCCTTATCTCTAATGCAAATTAGAACTTCACCATCCTGGATCAGTCCTATTGTTCACGTAGATCTTCCCTAACTCTCTCAATATTAAGCATCTATTCCTAGAAGAATGATAATCTCTCGAAAGTTCTTAGAAAGTCTAGGAATGTTTTGTCTAGGCACTAGGCAATCTCTCAAAAGCTCTTACAGTGTCAAGGAAAAATATTAAAATGATAAACAAAACAATATTAAGCATAAAAAACTTCTTCATTAAAAAACATCAAACAACGTTTCATCAAAACCATAACCAACACCAAGTAAAGCAATTCATGGTGCGGCAAATATCATCCAAGAGTTAAACTTTAAGTATAAGCCCTTTTAAGTGAATTAGAAATTAAGAAATTAGGAAGAAACACTCCCAAACAGAGCTCTGTTGTGACATTCTGACCACCACCATGCCTGCTCCAATGGCAAGCCTCTATCGAGGACCTAGCCGTTGCTCCGATGAAGTCCGACTATGGAGGGTATCAAGGTCGATCGAGTAAGGGAACGGTAGAAAATAAGGTGTTACAGCTGCTTACTTCACGCCTAGGGTAAATCCTCTCTATTCTTTTTTTTTTCTTAGGCTGTTATAATGAGGTATTTATAATGGGAATTTTAGGGTTTTGTGTCCATAGAAATTCCCTAAATACCCTCGTTGACTTACCCATATTATGAATAGAAATGCGGTTGTAGGTGGTCAATTTTCTTGAAGGGTATGATTGCACGTGAGGATGAAACTGGGTAAATGACGTCAGTAGTTATGAGCCACGTCAAATCTATAAGATAAATCTTGCTTCAGTAAGATAAATTTGTTCCTCACTGTCGTCATTTTATGTTCCTCTAGCCCTGAGAAATAGTTTTTGTCTCGGCAAATAAATTCTTCCTTAGTTATATCCAACATCAACACAACCAACAAAGAACCTTCCTCCTCAGTAGTATCAGTTATGCCAAATAAATCCTGCCTAGGCAAAACTTATCCACTACATGCACATATGACCTAAATGCAACTAAATGAAACTAAAATATTATGACAACGACTTTTAGACACACAATAACTTAAGTAAAAAGAAAAAAAGCATAGTCTTTTTACTGAGTTATCATAGGCATAACCAAAATTTTGTCCCTATCCTTCTCCAAAAAAATGGTCGAGATAAGCTCCACGTTCCATTGTATTGACTCCTCCAACATAAGATCTGAAACACGTGAAACCGAATCAATAGGATGAGTTAGAACTTTTTGTGGAGATCGCCCTGAGAGCCAGAAGTCGTTCCAGATAAAGATCGCTTCTCCTGACCCCATTTTCCATCGCAAACATTTCTCATGTAAGCCTTTCGAGCTCCAGATACTCCGTCATATGTAAGATGGGTGAGACCCGATTCTTAAATCAAGAAATTCCTTACTCGGGTAATATTTCGCTCTGATGGGGAGACTAACAAGATAATTAGGATTCGTTAACAACCACCAACCTTGCTTTTCCATAAGAGTAATATTAAATTTAGCTAAGTCCCGAAAACCTAAACATCTATCCTCTTTCAACGAGCAAATATATTTCCACATGCACCAGTGAATACCACATTTTTGCTCTGACTTCTGTCACCAAAACTAAGCCATAATAGCCTCTAGCTCTTTGCACAAGCTCTTATGGAGCAAAAACATAGGACATAGCATAAAGTAGGATAGCTTGGAGAACATACTTGATGAAAATCCTTTTTCCCCTGTGAAAGTAAGAGAATACACTAATTATGGATCCATGATTGAAAATTTTCCTTCAGATTAAAAACACCCTCTTTTATTCCTTCCTACAATTACCGGGAGACCCAAGTGCTTTTCAGGATTAGAAGTACTCTCCACCTCAAAAATTCGTCGAACATCACTTTGGTTCTCATTAACCACATTCAAATTGAAAAAGATGCCCAACTTCTCAAAATTAATAAGTTAACCCAAACTCTCTCTATAGACACGCAACAGGTCCTTCAACCTAGCCGCACATCCTACTGTTGCCTCACCAAAAATCAAACTATCGTCAACAAAAAACAAATGAGAAAGTACATGCACATACCTATTAACTCTGATACCCTTCAAAGCTCCCGAAGACTTTGTTTGTCGAATCAAAGAAGAAATCCCCTCACTGTAAATCAAGAACAAGTAGGGACTTAAAGGATCCCCTGAGGAAGACCCCTCTATGGTCTGAAATGATAACCCACTAGTTCATTAATGATAATTGAGTAAGACACAAAACTAACGTAGCACTTGATAATATCTATCCATCAGAAAGAAAAACCCAATCAACCAATGATGTCCCAGAGGAAGTGTCATTCGACCCTATCATAGGCCTTACTCATATCAAGCTTTAAAGCAAAATAACATGTACGACCCTTTCTGTCTTCCGAACAAAAGAATGTAACACTTTATAGGCAGCTATGACATTATCTGAAATCAACCTGCTTGGCAAAAAAGCTCTCTGTGCTTCATCAATGAAAATGTAAGTACCCCGTGAAATCTAAAACTAACATTTTAGGAACAATTTTGAAGAGTGCGTTGCAAAGACTAATTGGCTTAAAATTACTCATCGACCTCGGAGACTCAATTTTTGAAATAAGAACAATATGGGTGTAGTTTACTTCCTCAATATCAAACAACCCTTCAAGAATACCGATACAATAATCGGCCACTTCGTCTCCAATTATGTGCCAAAAACGTTGGTAAAACAACGCTCCAAGTCCATATTCTCTCGAGCCTTTAACTTAACTACTACCATAACTTCCTCTATTGTAAACGAACTTAACAACTGCTCATTCATCTCATGACTCATACGGGCCTCTATCCCATACAAAATTCTATAATATGTCGATGTTGAAGAAGAAGAAAACAAATCAGTAAAATATTACTGAGCAACAGATTCCATGCCCCAGTCTTCTTTATAGCGAGAGCTATCATCAGAGTCCATAAATTTAATATGATTTCGCCTTTTCCTTTGGGATGTAAATCGATGAAAAAACGCAATATTA